CTTGATGGCCTCAGCAGCAGTACCGCTGCGGCTCTGTGCTCCTTCCGCCTCGACTATTTTGCGCATTTTCTCGTGTTGGGTTTTGCGGTACTAGCTGCGGTAGTAGGGGCGGTAGTACCGCGTTCGCGCGGTAGTACCGCCCTGCCTCCACGGTAGTACTGCTCTGGGTCCCTGCCCCAGCCCCTCTCTTCTGGCGCGGCAGTACTGCTAAAGGGGAGCGGTAGTACCGCTTATGAGCGGTAGTACCGCTCTCTGCGGGGCTGAGTGGGGGATAACGGTTGGATTTTCCCCCTCCTATAAAAGGGGGTCTTCTTCCCCATTGAACCTAATCCTTTGAGCTCGTGTTCTTCCCCCATTGTTGACCTTCTTCGAGCTTGCTAACTCTCAATCCCTCCATGGATTCTTGCTAGTTTTTGAGGGAAAAGAGAGAGGAGATCTAGATCCACATTTCCACCAATCACTTTCTCCTCTATGTGAGGGAACCCCTTGGATCTAGATCTTGGAGTTCTTGGTGTTCTCTTTCTTGTTCTTCCTCTCATTTTCCTCCCTAGCATTAGTTGCTTCGGTGGTATTTGAGAGAGAAGGACTTGGGCACTCCGTGTGCCCTTGCCATTGCATTTGGTGCATCGGTTTGAGTTCTCCACGTGATACGTGGAAGTTACAAGTTGAGAAGCTTATTACTCTTGGGTGCTTGGTACCCTGGAGCTTGTTCCTCTGGGTGCTTGGGCGCCCTAGACGGTTGTTGGTCTTCGGAGCTCAATCATTTTGGTGTATAGCTCCGGGCAAGCGTCGGGGTCTCCAATTAGGTTGTGGAGATCGCCCCGAGCAATTTGACGGGTACCGGTGACCGCCCCCAAGGGTTGCCAAAGTGTACGGGTTCGGTGACCGCCCCCAAGGGTTGCCATTTGTACGGGTTCGGTGACCGCCCTCAAGGGTCCCTTAGTGGAATCACGGCATCTTGCATTGTGTGAGGGCGTGAGGAGATTACGGTGGCCCTAGTGGCTTCTTGGGGAGCATTGTGCCTCCACACCGCTCCAAACGGAGATTAGCATCCGCAAGGGTGTGAACTTCGGGATACATCGTCGTCTCCGCGTGCCTCGGTTATCTCTTACTCGAGCCCCTTTACTTATGCACTTTACTTTGTGATAGCCATATTGTTTCCTGTCATATATCTTGCTATCACATAGTTGCTTATCTTGCTTACCATAAGTTGTTGGTGCACATAGGTGAGCCTAGTTGTTTTAGGTTTTGTGCTTGACAAATTAACCGCTATGTTTATTCCGCATTTGTTCAAGCCTAAATCGTAATTATTTTAAAATGCCTATTCACCCCCACCCCTCTAGGCGACATCCACGATCTTTCACATGTGATCATCGAACATGCGACTAAGTATGGTGTCTTTTGACGAGCACCTATTGTTTTGCAATATTTTTTATATGCATCTTATAGTATATAGTTTGTTCCTCATTTTTATGTTGATTTTCCCCGAGTCATACATTTGCTTTGATTTTGTTGAGAACAAAGCCTTCACTCTACATAAGGGAAGAAATACCTTGATTTGTGTCAATATGACCAAACCAGATGAACTCATCATGCAACTTGTATTTCTCGACATGTGTCAACATGACCATGGCAAGAACAAACTATCAAATTTGTGAGAATACCTCTTGACATGTGTCAATATGACCGTGCCAAGAGTAAGATATTAAACGTGTGAGAATACTACTTGACATGTGTCAACATGACCATGCCAAGAGTGAGCTCTCAAATATGGTGAAAATACTACTTGACATGTGTCAATATGACCATGCCAAGAGTAGAATCCCAAATTTGTGGAGGATGAAGGCCACTTGGAATGTGTCAATATGACCAAGCCAAGAGCAAGAATCATGTCACTTGGAGAGAAAAAAAATTCAAGATCTGTGTCAATATGACCAAATCAAGAACCATCATATGGAGGAAAAAGCAAGGATCATGCTGCTTGAAGAAAAAGTTCTAGATTTGTGTCGATATGACCAAATCAAGAACCATCATATCAAGCAAAAAGCTACTTGACTCATGTCAATATGACCAAGCCAAGAGCAAAAATTGGGCAACATGGAAAATAATTCATAATTTGTGTCAATGTGACCAAATCAAGAATCATCATATGAGGAGAAGCTACTTGGCTCATGTCAATGTGACCAAACCAAGAGCAAAGATTGAGTAAGCATAGGGAAGAGCACCAATCAGAGAAGCCAAAGGATTAGGAAAGAATCATGAATCTCACCTTCTTGCTGAACTCCTCCAAATCTCCCTCTCCTCACGTATGTGTGTGTGGGATTTTTTTTGTAGCAATATATGTGTGTAGCAGCAGCAGAACAAGAGAGAATGAGCAGTCCAAAAATGAGACCAACCTCCTCCCCCTATGCGTGAAGGTATGGCAGTATTTATAGGGGCAGGAGTGCATGGGGTCCTGAGAGCGTCCCTGCATGCTTCTTTTTTATTTCTTTTCTTTAATTAATTGCTCTTTGACCAAGCTTTGAACCGGCCACTGGCCTAATTAGCCCATGTATTTTTTATCAACGTGTGGGCTTGGACCCTAGCCCATCAGTTTGCTTGTAGTGCTTAATTAGAGGATGGATTGGGCCATGCAGACAACCTTGTAAATCAGTCTTACCCACCAGCATGTATGTACGTAGACGTTTTGTATAAATGAGCTAGGCTTGACTAATTGAAGTATTTTTTTTTTGGTTAATTCAGTCTAATTTCTTTGTCTGGCCATGAAGAAAAAGAGACATATGCAAACATTCCTTCACGGACAATTATATGATGGCCTGGCGTTTTCTTCCTATTTCCTTAAATATATGTATATCGGTGCATGTCCTATTTTATCCAGCGCGTTGATATTTCACATGATTGATGGAATAGGCCTCGTATTTACCCTACGGTCGATATCTCGGAAACATTATGATTTTATGTAGGTATTTGACACCCGCCGTAGGTGGCGGTGTGCATGGATGAAGGTTATATGTGATTTTAACTGGGACAAATATTTCATGGAAATTTTTATTCACTGTGCAAAATTTCCAGATATTGACTTTTTTTATTAATTTATTTTGTGTGCGTGCTATTTTATATTGAGCGGTGAAAATTTACCAGTCATTTCCTTTCCCTATTTGGAAATTCATCATTTTTTAACATTTTATGTATTTTAATTTTACTTTGGCCAAAATCGGTGTCAACACTCTCCTCTTTTTGAGATCGGTCTTTTTCTCTTAAAGGTTCTTCTTCTCGGCCGCCGACATCAAGATGGTAAACCTCTCTATCTTCTTTTCCTCCTTCTTTCCAAGATGCCCTCGAAGCTCTCCGTCATCTTTGACGCTGACCTCCACTCCAAACACGACGCGAGGAAGACCCCTACCGCCATTGTTGGCCGCACGGGCTTCACATGGCGGCAGCCTTTGGTGGCACCACAGCAAACTGGGGATGCAATGGTGGTTCCTACAGTTTGAAAATGGGCGCCCCGCCTTGGGCTGGGGCGACGTGATGGAAAGAGGTAGCTCTTCATATGGCTTGATTTTCTTCGGTATATCGGATTTAGATATATTTAGATGAAAGATCTCGATAATTTCTCCAAATGGATGGATCACGTGAGAGATCTATCTTCATAAAAAAATGCTAGACCTACTTACGACCTACATAAAGTTAGGTAACTTGCCTTAACTTTTCTCAAACGGGGGTGGGGCCCCTTCCCTTATTTCCTCTACCAAAGCATGGCACCTAATCAGTTATGTTAATTACATAGAAATCCTTACGTAGATGTAGCATTACTGCTATCTTCATTTATCCGATCAAATCAGCCCGACATCACTTGCAGGCGCAGCTTGTGTACTCCCGCATGGCTAGTCCATGCATAAGCTTAACTGCTCGAGTATGGCACCATTCCCCTTGGTTACATGGATGTAGACAAAAGCGGTGGATCAGGTGACCTACGTAAATATATTAGCATCACTCTGAGTGGATCTTACTGCAGCTAGCGTGGAGGCCCACTGTCCTCTTTCATTTTTTATTTTTTGGCGACCAAAACATTGGGAGCACTATGTGTCGATCTAGTGGAGTTAGCATCAATATATTTAGAGCTAGTTAGTTTTTCTTGCATCACACCTCCTTTTATTCTGAAAGGGAAAGCGGTTGGCGGTTTGAAAAGGGGTGCCTCCGCCCTGGGCTGGGGCGATGCGAGGGAAAGAGGTAGCTCTTCATATGGCTTGAGTTTCTCAAGTATATCAGATTTACAAATGTCTAGATGAAAGATCTCGATAATTTCTCTAGATGGATGGATCACGCGAGAGATCTGTCTTCATCCATCCGATCATATCAGCCCGACATCTGCATGGGCTTCCACGAAGGTTTGACTGCCATCACGTGCAAATGCATAAGCTTAACTGCTTGAGTATGGCGACATGCTCGTTGGTTACGTGGATGTAGACAAAAGCAGTGGATCAAGTGGCTCAGCTGCTACGTGGTGAATGCATGTGCATGCAACCTTGCCGCCAGATTATATTAGCATCACTCTGAGTGGATCTAATGCGGTTAGCGCGGTGTCCCATGCGTGGCGTGTCCTCCTTCATTCTCTATTTTATGGCGATGAAAATATTAGGAACACTGTGTGTCGATCTAGTGCAGTCAGCTTCATTATATCTAGAGCTAGTTAGCTTCATTCCTTGACGCCATTCATATAACTAAAATTGCTAAACACATTGGGAACACTAGTGCAGCTTTTCTTGCATCACACCTCCTTTTATTCAGAAAGGGAAAGCGGTGGTGGCCTTAAAAGCGCAGCACACACAAAGAAGGTTGTGTGCTCGCACATGCAATACTAGGAGGAAAACGGAAATGATAATTAACCTTGTGAGAACACCTAGTTAAAACAAGATCGACCACCTAGTTAAAACCTTGTGAGAACAGACGATGATGTCCGTTCAGGAGGCGGCAGCAACTTCTCGGCGACAATTGGTTTGTCAGGCAGAGGGTGTGTCCTCCGCTTGCACCCTCTTCCCACAGCGCCAGACGCATGGCGTTACACTACAGTCGCGGAACCAGTCGCAGTGTGGTTTCCTCACCGCCGTCAGCCCATCAACAGCTCCTCCTCTTGCTTCTTCTCCTTGTGCTACCCCATGGACCGTCAGACGTGGGCACATATACTGGCAGTGCCTGTATCCGGGTGAGCCTTCATCATAGTGTTTGCGGCAATACTCATCGCAGTTGCCCCGCGACAGTGCACCTGCAGCAGCCTCATGCTGCACCACCGTCATTGGGACATCAACCTCTCCTCCTCTTGCTTCTTCTTCTCCGGTTCCTCCATGGGCCACCAGCTGTGCGGCGTCCGGCATATTCTCAGCGTAGCAATCTTTGACACATTGGGTGTAGTCCAATTCCGGATGTTCACGGCAGGCATTGTAGCACCAGACTGGGTCGCTCAGACGGCCGACGGCGTCCTCTTGCTTCCCCTTCTCTTCTCCCTCGCCTCCGGTGCCCTCCGTCGGCATCGCCAGGAGACCAGCTCGCCCTACAACTGCACCACCTCCTCTTGCTTCTTCCTGTCCTGTCACCCTGTGGGCCACCAAACACCATTTGTTTGTAGCTATCATAAGTTCATAACTAAACGAAACAAAACTGATCCTGGCGACGCATGAAGCTCACAGGTCACAGCTTGACCGTGATTTTTATTTGGAAAGGAAACAAGCTAGCAAAGCTCACGCCGAACAAAGGCAGATCAGTACTACCTACCTCCCATACAAGCACTGATTGTAGCACGGTCCGAAGTCCAACCGCCCGGTGCACAACGCGGAGCAGTAGGCTGCATCCCCATGCTCTTCAGCCAAGTGCCCGGCTTGCCCACCACCTTCCTTGCCCGCCGCATCGACGGCGACGAGCAGGGCTAAGTCCAGGACTACACACCACACAGCAAAGCCAGGGCTGCTGCGCTTCTTGTTGGAACACATACCCATGGCTGGCTGACTGGTGTTGAACTAATTTGCTATGGCTAACAACCCAACCCAAGATGGATGGATTGTGTAGATGAGCACACACCGGTATATAAATAGGCCAGTGAAGCCAACTCGCTAGGTTTGGATGAATCTTGCTGCCGGTGTCCATCCGATCTGATCCGAACCGCCATCTGCGTGCGTGCAGTGCATGTGCATAGCTGCAGGAATCACACATCTACTTGCTTCAAAATCAACAATCGTACAGTACAAGTTGCTAGATGATTAGATTAAAAAAATGTTTGCGCGCAGGGCCGGCCCTGGGGTATGGCCGCTGGGGCGACGGCCCAGGGCCCAGGCGAGAGAGGGGCCCATGATGGAGTATATACTATAGGCAGCAAAAAATAAGTAAAAAAAGTACAAAAGAAAAGAATAAGATGGGCTAGGCCCATCAGATAGCTAGCTAGCTATCGCCGATCGATTAGCGAACGCGAAGCGCCCTGAGTCGCGCTAGTCAGACTGATCGTTTTCCTTCGTAGGTTCGTCGACCTTGAACCATCGGCCTCCTCGCTCCGCGCATTACCGTGTCGCCCTCGCCTCGGCCGGCGCTGGAGCTGTGCGCGCCGCACAGCAGTCCGGCAGCCCGACCATCCGGCATCCGGCAAGGGGCGCAAGGCGGCACCGCGACAATACCTATACATCCGGCTACATGGCCCATTACAAGCAAGTCTGAAGTCTGCAACGCTGTCCGGCTGTCCCCAACCCCAGGGATTGAATCCCTAAAAGTCTGCAAGTCAGTATGTTTGAACGTTTCGACGATTCGATCCATGTTCCTTTGTTCTTGTCCATCCCCCCAAACCCTAATTTGACAATTTCAGCAGTTTATTTTATTCTTTATCTAGCATGTACACATTCAATTATACATCCATGCTCCATCCTCCAATTTCGGTATGCACGAAGTTTTAAAATCTTCTAATCCAATCTATCATTATTTTGTCATTTTATGTACATGTCTACTATTCCAATCATCCGGTGTTCTAAATTCCTAATTCTTTTCTTCATGATTTCAGGACATTAGTCTGCCATGTTACCTAAAAATGCCCGAAGAAACTTTTTTTGAAGCACTGGAGTATTATTGTTGTCGATGGAGTCAGCCTAATTTGGTTCTTATTTGAGGTAATCATGTCATGTTAGTTTCATTTTTCGATCTTTTTAGTATTATTGTTGTTGATGGAGCCGGTTCGGATTTGGTTATTATTGTTCTCGATGGAGGCATTTAAATTATCATAGTCAAATTTTAAACTAAAGACGTGTGACTGAAAGTTATTCTTAATAAGTTATCATATATATCACGCACACGCAAAGGGCCCATGTCATTGAGTTCGCCCTGTGCGTGCGTGCAGTGCATGTGCATAGCTGCAGGAATCACACATCTACTTGTCTGAAAATGAACTACGTAGAGTACAACTTGCTAGATCATTAGATTAAAGAAATGTTTGCACTCAGGGGGCAATTGATGCGATGTGTAGATCGATCAGCACGTATGAGCGTCCTTGTTTCACCGCCTGCATGTTGCAGATGCCACTTGTGCGGTTGCGCCCCATGTTTGTTCCTCGAAACAGGCCGGCACTCCACTTTATAGATAAAGCACCGATCAAAGTACACGGTCGAATCGTATATAGTGAAGAGGTAGCCCTCTTATAAAGCGGATCCTAAGATCTCGCTACCACGCAGAAGCTACGCAACCGAAGAAGAATAAGGGGAGATCAGAGTGCAACGTCACGCCATGTCCTAGCACACCTAGGCTCCATGACATCACCCTCAGGAGGAAGAACGGCGCAGAGCGTCGCCACTGCCGAGTCCGGGATGGACAGGGGTCTTCACCCGGAGCCCGGACACGAAAAGGAGAACCACAACAACGTCTTCAAGAAGAATGTGGTGCGCGGGGGCGTCACCGTCGCTCGGCAGCTCACCCGTCTCCCACGATAGACCCAGGACATACGCGACGAGCTCCAACTCCTCGATACAGATCCGGGCACCGCCGACAAGGGCGTGCCCGAGCCACCTGCTGCTAGACCCCCCACCGCCCATACGACCAAGAGGAAGCCACCACCGTCGGCACGAGACCTGCCGTAGAGCCAATCTTGGGGACCGCCTCCTGGGGCCGCCACTCCGGCATAGCTGTCCCAAGACTCCACCACCTAGCCGCCACACGATACACCAACCCCGACGGTTATGGTAGAAGAACGTCCTTCCACACCTCCACCGTAGGAGGTGCCGACGCCTGCATCCCTAACCAGTCCCCGTGGACCTGGGGACATGACCCTAGGACCGTCGACAGCCGCCGTGAAGCAGAGCTTGCACAACGCCAAATCCGAGATCACCGGTACTGCACGGCATGACGAGTAGGCGGTGCCATGACCACCTCCACAGCCCACCGCACTCGCGAGGACAATGCTCATGAGCACATCCCGGGCCGGGCCTGAACCACACCTACTCAGAGAACACCCCGATCTACCCAGGCCCAAATCCGGCCTGCCCGAGCACAAACCCTAGGTCAGGGGAGCCGCCGTCATGAGACAACCAGCCCCGCAGACCACCGGCTCCAACCCAGGAAAAAGAAGGCCGCCACGCTGCCACCCTGTGCCACCAGCAAGAACACGGCCACCGCGTCGCCGAAGCCCAGACCAGCTCGCATCTTCGCTCCAGCCCACCACAGCCACGAAGACCACACCTTGAGCAGGAGCTGCCGCTGCCGTCAGCCAGCAGGATGATGACCTCCGGCCCGCGCTGCCCGGCGGCTAGATCTAGTTGTCGCTGCCCGGGCACTCCCCGCCATCATCAGTGCCTGCCACGATGTCGCACCAACGCGCCGCCGCTGCCACCACGCCCGCCCGACCCCTGCGTGGACGTGTTTGTATATTTGTATTTATTAGTGCAGCAGATGGGTTTGTATAGCTGGATAATTAACACTGTTCGTAAGGCGAGTATCATAGCTATTATCATGCATGCCACCTAAACAATTTTGATGAGGTGACATAAAAATAAATAAAAAATAGAAGGTGGAGTATCATATTATAATACCATATCATAATAATTATTGTACTATTATATCCTGCATGGCAATAAATGAGATCATCTAAGATACTAATTCATACTAACATCATCTTGCTTTTATGTACGCCAACAAAGTAGCCCGCCCAATTGGGCGTTTAGCGTCTTCAATTGTCTATTTGTTTTATTATTATTTTTAAAAGACAAAAGGCACTGTCCGAATCACTAGAGGAGTTCGAACCTAGCCACTTATAATTAACAAAGCTATCAACCACCCAGAACTACAAGGGGAACACAATACAGAGAAAATAAAAGCAAAGCGAAAAAAACAGATACAAGGAGTTAACCACAACAACTAAAATGCAACAACAACAATGTGCACAATCACATTGCACTGTTGCCTACAATAGCATTGTGCCAACACCAACTAACAAACTAAGATCTTGGGATGAGGGCACCACCGTGCAAGCATCATGCGGCAGACTGCATCCAAAGGGCCAAAGATAAGAGCAACACACAATCTGTCCCTGTCATCGCAACGGGCTATAACCCTTTCACCAACACTCGATGTGTGCCGTAGCGGCGGCCGAAAAGTGGTTTCCACTAGAACCCATATCAAGGTGCCCAAGCTGACAATGTAGAAGCAATAGGAGCAGACCCATAGGCATGGATGACCGACCGTATGAGCATTGTTGCCGGAAGGGCAATACAGAGGATCAGGTGTAGCCGATACACCAAGCCACCTCGCACATACTTCCATGAGTGTTTGCATATGATTCGAACTACACTCGGCCTCTGATTATGACCATTAGAGGGTCTTTGTCAAGCTCTAATTGATCAACTAGGACCAACTATAAATAGAGAACTACAAGAGACTCTAAAACTTGTGAGTTCAAAAGTGCCAAATCCTCTAGTATATATAGGTTGGAAGGCAGGAAGAGGAGCGCTACAACAGGAAGGAATCCCACCCCCTTTGGTCGGCCAAGGAGGGGGGAATCACCCTCCAATTCGGCCCCCCTTCCCCTTTCCATGGGGAGAAGGGGGCGCCACCCCTTTTGGGCCCAAGTGGCCGAAGTAACCTTCCGCCACTTGGCCCTTTAAGGCCAGTTGATATTAAAATAAATATAAAAGCCTCCTAACAAATACTAGATACTTTTATATTGAATTTAAAATCATGGGAAACACTTTCGACCTATATATTATTTGTCGAAAATACCCGGCATTGCCCGATTAACTCTGAAGCCCTGCTAGTTACCCCGGAACCCTTCTGATTCCTCTAGAAACTATTCCGAATATTAGCACAACTATTTGACAGATATATTCTTATTGTTCCTGTCCTATGAGCACTCAACAAATCATGATTACTGTATGATTGTGACCCTGTAGGTTTGGTAAACATTCACATGAATGAAACTCCTTCGTTGAATGACCAATGGAGGAACTGTGGACATCCATTTCAATCCTTATGATTACACGAACGAGTGGAACTTTTGGTTATCATGTGATATTTGCTTTTCTTCATGATACTTCAAAAAAACCCGAGGTGAGATGTATCGGTATCCTCTTGAGTGATACACATGCTCACCATACCGGTCTTCTCGTTACCAGTTTTCTTTTCTTTCTTGTTGAAATGTGTCGGTATCCCCATGACATAGTCACTTGTGTCTGGCCTGACGACACTACAACCGCGGTCCCTGCGGGTCGTCACAGAAATCGTCACGAATCAATAAGATGTGAATGGCCACTGAAATGATGCCCCATTATGATGGACAATGAAAGACTGTCATGGAAACTGTCATGGACAGACCATATGAACCTAAGCTGGACCGTCACCGATGGCTCATGCTGATGTGGCATGTATCCGGTGTGATGCGTATGCTGAATCCTGATTGGTCAATCCTCCCTTCTCGCGGATCGCGCATCACAACCGTCCACTCCCTCAGATCGCACGGTAGGCACATGGCCCAACC